GTGTGTGTGTGTGTGTGTGTGTGTGTGTGTCTGTGTGTGTGTGACTAAAGATTGAACCCAGGGTCTTCACACTGAGCTACATCCCAGCAGACTTTTCACTTTTTATTTTGAGATGATACCTCACAAAATTGCTACATTGTCTAGGCTGAACTTGAACTTAATTCATTCTCCTGCCTCATCCTCATAGAGTGTGGGTATTACAGGCTTCCTTGCTCCAAGTTAGGTCTTTTGTATGAAAGGTGCAACCAGGACAACTGGATAAAATGTAAGTGGCAGATTTAGGTGAAGAACAAATTCCAGTTCTCTGTTTTATTCTTGTAACTTTTCTTTAAGTTTAAAACTGTTGGAAGCAAAATGTTTGCATGAATACGTGCTTAAGCATGCATGTTAATATATTAAGCCATTACTGCAAAGTTTCAGCATAACTGGTTTTCCAGCACTGTACCTCCTGTAGCCCTCCAGCCCTGGGGAGCTCCCTGCCCAAAGCACACAGGTAAACTGGGGCAGAGCAGGTGTTTCCTTCATCTCTACATTGTACTGTGGGAGCCCGCTGGCATTTGACATTGGAAAAGTAACTTCGAGGCATTGACACAATCTATGACTCTATCTGTTTGTTTATTTGGCATTTCTGAGACAAGGGTCTCAGCTATGCAGATGAGATTGACCTGGAACTCACTGTGTAATCCACGCTGGTTTTATGGGATTACAGGTGTACACCACCACGCCTGGCTCAAGGACTTTGTTAAGTTTGACCTTGTGAAGGGAGGAACTCAGATAGCCAAAGATCTGATCTCTTCCCTAATAGTTGATTGGTGCTTCCTGTTGGCGTGCCTTTAAAAGGAGCTGTTTCTGTGAAATAAATCGGACCTCTTGTCTCCACACTATTGAGTGTGCTATCCTTTCTCAATCCTCACTCCCCAACTCAGGTACTGTAAGAGCCTGACTGAACCAGAGCGACTCCATGTTGACCAGCAAACGACCTAGAGACTGTCGCTCCCCCTCATCCCTTATAGGATAACTAATGATTAATTGTGAATTGTTAGGTAACTGCTTTGAAGTAGCTGGGAAACTAAATGGAAACTGTAGTGAACACAGAGACCCAACACAAATCACACCACTCCTTACTTGCCTGTAGTTGAATGTTCTGAACATTATAATCTAAGTTGTAAATGGAATAATGGATAATCGCTCTGCTGATCATTAGTACGTGACGGTCAAGTATATGCTTGATGACCACTAGCTCAGATCAACTGATTCTTTGCCTTTGTCCTCTTCCTGTAAGTTTTAAGTGTAAACCTCCCCCCTTCAGCCCTATATAAAATGGCCTCTGTTTCTGAGCTAGCCGCCTCTCTGAGCTACTTGGCTTGGGGAGTGCCGTCTGGCCAGACTAATAAAGGTCTATTTGCCAACTTGCCTGGTGTGTTCCTTCCTGGGTGACTCTCGCTGTGCGACTAGCTCCTGGAGCCTCGCTGAGCTTCTGAGCCCAGCATCTTGGAAGCCTCTTGGCTGTTCACGGTCCAGGAGTAAAAGTGAGACTTAAGTCTTACAGTACGTTCGTGTTGTGACGGCTGGGCCGCCACATTGTACCCTCATGTTGACTTCAGATTATGCAGAAGGAGAAAAGAAGTTTTTTCTCATGATGTTTGTCTGTTCTTAACTGGGATATTCTCTTTCCTAGTAGACTCACTTTTTAAAAAGAAATGAGAACAGAAGAGAAATGGTTTACGGAGAGGCTAAGGTTTCCCAGCAGCGTAAAATCTTCACCCCAGCCCAAGTAATCACATATTTTGTACAGGCAAAATATAAACTCGAA